ATCCTGGAACTCCCCTTCCTTACAGTTCGCCAAAGTAAAATCTCATAACCACATGACATGTTTAAACCAGTAAATGTACGCAAAGCTCTGACATGGTGAAATTCCACAAGGTGTGGGACCCACGGATCTTGCGATGCATGCCTTTTGACTTTGATCGTTGACTGCTGCTGCTCCTCTAGCTTTTCGCCATGTATTTGAACTAGGCTTGAGTGAGTTTCCTGAACCCTAGGGATGTGCTTTCTTACCTCCTCCTTTTCTTGTTTCCTCCTGCTTCTTTTTCTGGTCTTTTTTATACTCGTATCTTCCTTCTCCTACTCCTCCCCCCCAGCACCTTTCCTTTTATTGCACCAAGTTTCACTTTACCTGCCATCGTATGCCATGTAGTATTCCTTGACTACCATTGCAGCTACCATTTGGTGCTATTATATGTCTGGTTGACCCACTGCATTGTATCTCTATGTCAGGCTCGTCCTCGGCACCCCCGGCCGCTCCGGCGCCGCGTCGCTCCGGTCGTGACGTCACGCGGCGCTCCGGCCGTGACGTCACGCGGGGCTCCGCCCCCTGGGCTCGGCGTGGGTCTTATAAACCCAGTGAAGGCAATCACTCGGCGTTCAGTCAATGTGGAACGTTGAGCGATTGCCTCCACTGTCTCCACTGAACCAGTCCGGCTCCCGCACGCTGCTCAGCCTGCAGTGCACTCGGACACAGCTCCTCACTACAGTGCCTCTCAGCCTTGCAGGGGAAAGACATCTTCACGGGTTTGACACCTTAACCGCAAGTATCAGGGCCCTGGCTCTACATGGGACTACATGTTCAGTTGCCTGAACCTATACTGCTGTAGTATTGCCTGTCTAAGCTAAATATCTGCATCAATTCCTACTGCTGGAGGATTGCCTGTCTAAACTAAATACCTGCATCAATTCATACTGCTGAAACATTGCATGACTAGGATATATAATTGCATTAATCCATACTGCTGAACTATTGCCTGGAATTGCCGTTAGCTGTAGTGAGCCCAGCAGCTGTGGTAGTGTCTGCAGTTATATCAATCTGTAGAATCCCGAGCTGTTTCATGCTACAGTCCCATCAGACCCCCGTTCACACTAAAATTAACTTCCCTTAAGTCTAGGCTGGGATACATGATGTGGAACGGCTTCCTATCGCACTGTGTGTGTAGGGAGTCGCCTGACTGACCCAATCCCATACAGCCTACTCAACAGTTCCGCAGCTGCAGTCCATTTCCCATCAACCCGCTTGATTGTGATACTCTAGTTATTTTTATTGTTTGTTGTGTTCTCATCCTGTGTGACGCCTTGGTCATATGTCACTGGATCCTTGCTTATTACGTAGCCTGCCATATGCTCACTTTGGGTCACAGGAGGACATTAGTAAATGTTCTCCTGTGACCCAAAAGAGAACTAAAGCCAAACATCGGCTGTGGCTATAGTTCTCTTTAAACTTTGTGATCAAAATGATATATATACACCGTATATAGTGGGGACCCCAGGGGTACACTTGCGTCTGGGACACATTCAGATAAAATAAACAGCTTTACCACAGGCTAACAAAACAAATAGCTTCCTTCAGCAAAAAAAAAAAAGGCTTTCTTCAGCAAAACACCAAACACAAAGTAACAGTCCTTCCCCAAGATTGCACTGCGTAGTGCATTTAGGTGATCTCACCAAGATAGAGTCCACTTGTTTCTGAGCAGCCACACAGAGAGCTTTCTGTGTCTCTTTCAGCTCCCCAATCCTCTCTCACCTGTCTTAACTTTTTAACAGGAAGGGCTGTAGGGGAAGTATCTGCCCTCCCAAAATTAACCCCTTTTTAGCCCTCAGCAAGGTAGACTCTCCACAAATATATATATATATATATACATATACACATACACACACACACACTGAGTGGCCAGATTATTATGACCACCTGACATTTGTAGGCAAATTAGCTATAATTTGGAGCTGAAGTTGCTAGAGGGCCAGACCATTATAAATAGGGAAGCAGGTTGTTTACCACGACAGTAGAAGTGATTTTTTTTTTCCTGAAGATACGGGTAAACAACGCGATTTAACAGCCTTTGAACGTGGGATGATTGTTGGCGCTCGGAGCCATGGAGTGAGTATCAGCACAATAGCAGAATTCGTTAAATGTTCAAGAGCAGCTGCTGTTAAAGTGTTTAAAGACTGGACTGTCAGCCGAAAATCTGGGTCTGAATGTGCGAATTGTGGCTGTCAGCAACTAGTCAATGTTAGGGCAGAACGGAGAGTGGCAAGACTGGTACAAGACAACAGAAGGGCAACAGTGCAGTGTCAGATTCCTCGCATCACCTTTCAACATCTCGTGGAGTCACGAGGCGGCCCAACGAAGTCATCTCGTGGAGTCATCTCATGGCCCAATGAAGTACTGATGGGGTGGTCATAATAATCTGGCCACTCAGTGTATATACACATACATACACACACACACACACACACACACACACACACACACACAACACCATACATTCAATGCAGAGCTAGGCAGAGAGAAGCAAAATGCTGAATATACAGTAAATGTACAGTGGTTTTTGTACTTTAGTATTTATATATACATTAAGGACAACAAAATACACATTTTGCAGATTTTTTTTTTCATGTATAGTCCGATTAACATGTTTTGCAGCAGGTTTACCTGGTAAATCCTCATTAATGTATTTATAAGGCTAATTTCAGCTGCTGTTTTAAAAAAAGCCATTTACAGGATTCAAATAGCTGATCTGCTGTGCTCTCTCTAGTTAGAAACCCCATATTAATCTGGGTCTCTGGTGTACCCAGTTTAATAGAATTTAGAATCAAACCCATTGTTTATTTACAAAATATTAGTGAGGAATTGGAAATTACATTTGTTTCACACCGGCTACCAGATCAGTGAGTCAAGAATGACACACAGCTTGTGTATCAGTGTCATCCTGGCCCTTTCCAGACCTGGTACAGCTCTGACCTCAGTTCCTACAGCACTGCACAGGCCTAATAAAGCCACATACATAAAAGTGCATATAGCAGACTATCAGTACCAATGAGCTGCAGAAAAATGATCTTTCCTCAAATAAAGCCTTTTTTTCTGCACTCACTATGATTGCTAGAGCTGTAAAAGTTCAAACCACAAATTGAATAGTTCCCTTTTAGCACCATATTGCTGAAAACATTGTGCAGAGATTTCCAAGCATTTCAAAATTGACCCCAAGAACATTATAGGGACATAAATGCTCCTTATTGCCGTTGCCTTGGTAGCAAATATAGTATAGTTTGGAGCCAGCTTAGGAGTGGCTTTGTTCTATATTTTACTATTACATTTGTGTATTGTGTCAAACCTACTGCTGGTTTAAACATATAAAAAAATAAATACAAATACATTCACAGTGCTTTTTTGCCTCCAAACTCTGTATTGGAGGCAAAAAAAAATGTTCTGCTCAGAACACAGATCTTTCCAGAACAGTGGAGAAATATAAAACCTAAACAAAACCTATTAGTACAAAAACTGAAGCAATACTGACACACAGTGGACAAATAGGTGTACAGCAATGTTACTAAAACAGCAAGCTACGAGTTCTCTCAAAGTGGATTGCCACTTTTGTAGCCGAATTGGGATAACACAGACTTTAAATTTGTTACATGTTTCTATTCACATAACTTAGAATCCAAAAAGGGCATCTGCTATTTTTTGTTTCTTTTCTCCAAACTCTAGGACTGAAAAATCCTACTTAAGCCAGGTATGCACAGATCTATTGTTTTCGTTAAACCCAAAGAACAGATTCCTCCATTAGCGCTTATGAGCGTTGATGGACAAATTCCCTGCTGTTTCCTTTGTATTCTGACAGTGGCTTTTAGAATACCCAAACAGAGCTAGCAGGTGATTGGCCAAGAATTTTTCAACCAGCTCCTTCCATCATCTGCCCAGAATCGAGGGATTCTAGGTGGATGGGTGCTGACAGGGCAACCACTGAACCGGACGAAATTTACACCGTGTATAACGAGTTTAGTTCTCATTGTTTGAGGGGGTTGGGGGAGTTTTGTTTGACATGATTAACCCGGTCTGTACTGTGCTGCCAGACTTCATTATCACTTGTAAACTAGATGAGTATGACCGTCTCTTCTATCAAAGGGTACAAGATCTCAAAGCATTATAAGTTAAATGCACTTTCAAAAAACCGTCCCTTAGTCTGTCCCCTTGTATGCTCACTGGAATCTATTCTAATCACTAAAAGCTGTCTGTAGTGTCCTATGTAAAATCCTGGATTAGAAAACTGGAACAACAAAAATAGACATATGCATCTAAAACTATGCATTTCACCATTTCCCTTGTCTTTTAAGTACCTATAGATTTTGAGCCCTTGGCAGGTTTAGTTCAAACTTATTGGCAACAAAGGTCGGTTTTATGGGCCCTTTTATACCTGCCAATGCATGCAAACAACCTTTAAAAAAAACATGGCGCACCATAATGCGTGGTAGTGTGTTGGGGTACCATTAAAAGTCAATAGAACTACAAAACTCTGACACATGTAACATTGTGTACAGTTCCTAAAGGTTATGCAAGTCTGCTTTAGGAGTCCATCATCTTATACTCATGATTTCAAGGTACGGAGGGCAAAAGGAAGTAATAGAGCATGTGTATCCATACAATATATAATTGGACAATACTGACAAGGGAAACCAAAAGTTTGGGGTCTGGGAGTGGGAAAATTTCACCTGAATAGCCAACATCTCTAGTTATAATGCACAGATACAAGGCACAAGGCACTGCCTATGTACCAAGGTATGTGTATGCAATATGTCTCCCACAGAGAAACATCTTTCCATAGTTGGATCTGCGCCTTCTGGCTATAGCAACAATTTGTTACATCAGAATTACAACAGATAAGAGTCCGAAAAACTGAAAGTAAATACAAGTTTAAGCTGCATAACAGCAATGGGTTCCAAATGAAATTACAGATGGGGGGGCAAAAAAAAAAAAACACAACTTACCCTGACAATTAAAATCCATTTGATCAGTGATAATCCAAAACCACAGATTGCTCCATAGCGTCCGGCAATTGTGTTGGTTATGCAAAAAGATAAACAGAATCCAATCCAGTTAAAAATGAAGGCCACTGAGGGAAAGAACACAGATTCATGCTATTAGTATGGAGGACTCGTTCAGAGCAAGATTCATATACAAGTTTAATATACATAAACAAAATACAATTCAGTTTAAAATATAGTTACTTTGACTCCAAAAAAAAATACATAACCCAATTTAGTTGAACTTGGGCATTGTCCACAAAGCATCTTAGAGTTTTCTTCACGCCCTCTAAACCTAAAAACGTTCAATTGTCAATTGCCCCAAAAACTATGATCAGTAACATGTGATGGTATATAAGACGAGTGGGATTGTCCCTATTGGAGGCCGACAATGGAAGTACACTGTATTTAATTTTAAAAAACCCTATTAGCGCACGAGAAAATCAAATTAGCAGGATGGCACCGTTCATTATTTAAATACTAAAAAGGAAAACTTTTGTCCTAACCATATGTCATGTGGCAGCTCAAGGAGGACTACAGCTTCCATGTTGCTTTTCTCTTATTCTAAAGAAACAGGCTGATCATACTGTGCATTAGCATGGGTGACAACACTGCACAAGCAGCGTTGTCACCCTAAAACAGTATGTGGAAAAGGAGGCACTTACTGATAGGACAGGTAGAAAAAACTAAAAGAAAGTTTACAGAGACAGAGCAGCAACGAGAGATAGGGTGGGGAGAGATAAGGAGGGTATACTACTGTATATTTGTTTAGATGCACTTTAAAGCAAACAATATGTACATTACTTCAAAAAGTCCAAGAAACAAGGGTTTGTTCTTCAAGGAAACTGAACCCTAGAAGATGTGAGCAGCACAGTAGTGACATCACCAGATTTGGGACTAGGAGCAGCAGTGTCTTGGATATTATAATGCAGATATACAGCTAAGAGGATTAGGCAAAAGGAGTGTCTAGGCATCCTCACATACCACACTATTTTTTAAGAAGCATTAGAGACAAAAAGCATAAATTTTAATGTTAAAATATATATATTCCCCATAACATAGCAAGTCTTTACTATTTAAGCTTAGGTGCACTCTAAGTACAGTGAGTGGAGCGATGCAAGTGATTCCCATATGTCTCTATGGCTATCTGCAAATCTGGAAGTGTTGGTTTACAGCACAGCTTATATTTACAGTCACTAATTCCAATCAGCATGCAGCTTATTTTGGATATATAACCCTCAACAGTTCATCAAAGTGGAAATCGTGGGGCTCAAGGCTTGCTTAATGCCAACAATACTACTCCCAGGTATCATATTCTGACAGCCGATGTCCTCGGCTTTCTGAATACACAAACAATGACTGCAGCTGATTGCCTTCATTCGACTTTTGGCGAGTAGGTTGGTGCTGGCAGGGCCACCCTTGGATCCAATTAGGGTCGATTCAGTAGCAAAATCAATCAAATTCAATCTGTGTTTTGGTCAGCTTTACATTGTATTGTACTGTATCCTTTTACGAGATGTTTACACCTCAACAGCAAATAGAGCTTCTTTTATTATCGAATGACAGTATCTAATCTGATGAAGCTAAATTTGAAATGCTAATGAAACAAGTACTTCTCAGAATCATCAAATACATTCATTTTAATTAGTGCATGAACTAAAAACAGCATGCATTATATACTACTCAAGAATAAATTAAAGAAGCATCTCTAGCAAACGCTTAAATCAATATAATCAGTTAAGGAGTAAATGACAGTCATGAAGTAGTTTGCTCATTCTACAAATGTATCGAGAAGACTGCCACTTGACAAAGAAAAGTGGCTAAACTGTTCTTAGCTTTTGCTCAATAGGTCAGGAATGGATTCTAATTAGAGTTACTGCTCTCACAGTTCCTATTCTCTGAATATGACCACTTGCACTATTAGAGCGCAGTTTAACACTACATACAACCATACACCTAACTGAAGCCACAAATGTTTTCTAAAGTAAATATTAAAATCGATATTTATAGTTTTCATAAATACAGCACAATTATATATTTAAGCACCTTATAGAGAAAGGACAATCTAGTTCTCATCTATGTATCAGGAAATGTGGTTTGCAAAACAATAATGACACTCACTCTGGTCAAGTTAAAGCTTTAGAAGTTCAACACAATTATTGACCCTCCCAGACATAGTGGGTGAGATGACATGTACAAGCTCAAAAAAGAATGCAATAGAAACAGATCATGAGTGGATTTGAAGGCATATCATGGATGAGCCAAAAGGGAAAGCTGACACTGAAACCAATCAGTAGAGGGTACCGAGAGAAGGCGTGAAGAGGCACATTGGTAAGGGAGGAGGAAAGAAAAAGAAAGGTGACAAGGAAGGAAAAGAAAGGAATAGGAGAGGAAAAAGGAAGGGGTGGGACTGTGTGAAGAGGAGGAGATAATAGCTGGAGACAGCGTATCACAAAGCACAATCACCAATCAATGTTTTTTTTTACATTAAGTTACACATTTACAGGTGGCCAGAAACAAATCCAGGAACTACGCGATCCTCAGGAGAAGCTAAAATATTACTTTTAGTTGGTTTAACTGAATCCTTTCGCACTGCATTTCAACCTATTGTAACTATTTTTGGTCCTTTTGTGACAATGTGCTATGCATTTTAAAAAGGTATCTGCTTTGACTAAGAAATAAGCCTTGGTGACTGCAATAGAATAGAACATTGTTATGCTGCTCTGAACACCTAGTTCGGTCAATGCCAGAAGCTAGTAATCATCATTTACATACAGCACATGCCATTATGAAATGTCTCAGATCACAAGAAAGGTAGTGTGCTGAGGGCAGACGACAAGAAAGTCAATGTATTCCATTGTGATATTAAATAAAGCATCCCTGGCATTCCTTCAGATGTCATAGATAACGGCCAACTGGGAGCATGCTGGGGGTGCCTTCTTTGATATCAATCTTTTTAAACCAGTAAATAGAAAACCACTATAGTGCACAAAGGACAGCAAGAGAAAGGAAAAATACATGAATGGTTATCTTTTCACACTTGCACAAGTTGACTAGATACAGCTGTGCTCATAAGTTTACATACCCTGGGAGAATTTATGATTTCCTGGCCATTTTTCAGAGAATATGAATGCTAACACGAAAACCTGTCTGTCACTCATGGGTAGTGTTTGGCTGAAGCCATTTATTATCAATCAACTGTGTTTACTCTTTTCCAATCATAAATGACAACAGAAACTACCCAAATGACCATAATCAAAAGTTTACATACCCTGGTGATTTTGGCCTGATAACATGCACACAGGTTGACACAAAGGGGTGTGAATGGCTATTAAAGGGAACCATCCTCACCTGTGATCTGTTTGCATGTAATCAGTGTGTGTGTATAAAGGCCAATGAGTTTCTGGCCTCCTGACAGACCCTTGCATTCTTCACCCAGTGCTGCACTGATGTGTCTGGATTCTGAGTCATGGGGAAAGCAAAAGAATTGCCAAAGGATCTGCAGGAAAAGGTAGTTAAACTGTATAGAACAGTAAAAGGGATATAAAAAGATATCCAAGGAATTGAGAATGACAATCAGCAGTGTTCAAACGCTAATCAAGAAGTGGAACATGAGGGGTTCTGTTGAAACCAAACCATGGTCAGGTAGACCAACTAAACTGTCAGCCACAACTGCCAGGAAAATCGTTCGGGATGCAAAAAAAAAACCCCACAAATAACTTCAGGTGAAATACAGGACACTCTGAAAACATGTGGTGTGGCTGTTGCAAGATGCACAATAAGGAAGCACTTGAAGAAAGATGGGCTGCATGGTCGAGTCGCCAGAAGAAAGCCATTACTACGCAAATGGCAAACAGTATCCCGCTTACAATACGCCAAACAGCACAGAGACAAGCCTCAAATCTTCTGGCACAAAGTAATTTGGAGTGATGAGACCAAAATTTAGCTTTTTGGCCACAACCATAAACGCTACATTTGGAGAAGAGTCAACAAGGCCTATGATGAAAAGTACACCATTCCTACTGTGAAAACACGGAGGTGATTTGCTGATATTTTGGGGATGTATGAGCTACAAAAGGCATGGGAAAGTTGGTTAGAATTGATGGCACGATGAATGCAGTACGTTATCAAGAGATACTGGAAGACAATTTGCATGCATCAGCCCGGAAGCTGCGCATGGGACGTACTTGGACATTCCAACATGACAATGATCCTAAACACAAGGCCAAGTCGACCTGTCATTGGCTACAGCAGAATAAAGTGAAGGTTCTGGAGTGGCCATCTCAGTCTCCTGACCTCAATATCATTGAGCCACTCTAGGGAGATCTCAAACGTGCAGTTCATGCAAGACAGCCCAAAAATTTACAGGACCTGGAGGCTTTTTGCCAGGAAGAATGGGCAGCTTTACCATCTGAGAAGATAAAGAGCCTCATCCACACATACCACAAAAGACTTCAAGCTGTCATTGATGTTAAAGGGGGCAACACACCGTATTAAGTATGTAAACTTTTGATCAGGGTCATTTGGGTAGTTTCTGTTGTCATTATGATTGGAAAAGAGTAAACACAGTTGATTGATAATAAATGGCTTCAGCCAAACACTACCCATGAGTGACAGAAAGGTTTTCCAGTTATCATTCATATTCTCTGAAAAATGGCCAGGAAATCATCAATTCTGCCAGGGTATGTAAACTTATGAGCACAAGTGTATAATTAATGAGCACGGATGTTTTAAAAGTGAATTATTCAATGAAAAATATATATTTCTATTTTCCTTACATATTAATAGTGGGATTTCAAGAATACCTCTGGGTATTAAAGGATGGGAGCTGCCATTGCTGAACTGTTTTTAAAGATACAGGTTTCAGGACTGTAATCCTCATCCTGGCTTCACTATTTAATGAGTCATTGAACAAGCATGCATGATTGTTTACTGTGACTTGCTTGGTCGTGAAGCCAGGATCAGGACGGCAGCCTCATAGTCTGGTCTCTGAAAAACAACGGGAGCTCCCATATTTCCATACTGACAGATTAAACTCTGAACTATGATGCTATATATTATTATCATAAAGAAAGAGTATAGGATGAGT